GACTCCCTCCAGAACTTGGTAACTTGACGAATCTTGAAGTCCTATGGCTTTCTCATTGTCATCTTGAGGGGCCAATTCCGGAGAGTTTTGTTGGGCTGAGTCGAATCAAAAACTTGGACTTGTCGGGGAATAGACTTACCGGTCCAATACCGAGTCTGATTTGTAAGCTCAAGAGTGTAGTGCAAATTGAGCTGTATGCAAATTTGTTTACCGGGAAATTGCCGGCTGGATGGTCGAATTTGACAGAGTTGAGACGTTTTGATGCAGCAATGAACAATTTAACTGGGACGATTCCAGATGAGTTGTGTGAGTTGCCGCTCGAGTGGCTGAATTTATATGAGAACCAGCTCAATGGCCAAATCCCGGAAAGCATCGCCAAATCCCCGAACTTATACGATCTAAGATTGTTTGGAAATCAACTCAGTGGGTCACTTCCGAGCGAACTTGGTAAGAACTCGGCTCTTCAAACTTTAGACGTGTCACACAATAACCTTTCGGGTGTGATACCGGAACATTTATGCCAAAGAGGAGTGTTGGAGGAGCTTGTATTGATTTACAATTCATTTTCTGGAAATATTCCGGAGAGTCTCGGGAAATGTCGGAGTTTAATGCGGATACGGATGCGGGGTAATCGGCTTTCTGGAGAAATTCCGGCCGATTTTTGGGGCTTGCCACATGTTTACTTGCTAGACCTTGATAGCAATGCATTTTCGGGAAATATATCAAACAAGATTTTCGGTGCAAGAAATCTATCAACCCTTTCAGTTTCGGAAAACATGTTATCGGGGAGTATTCCTAGAGAAACTGGATCGTTGGAGAATTTGGTCGAGTTTTCTGCTCATGACAATCATCTTGGTGGAGAAATCCCGAGTTCATTGGTACACTTAGGACAGCTTGGAAAGCTTGATCTTAGTAACAACCATCTCTCTGGGGAGATTCCAAGGGGAGTTAAAGACTTGAAGCAGCTAAATGAGCTCAATCTGGCTAACAATAGGTTATACGGGGAAATCCCAGATGAAATTGGGAGCATGCCGGTGCTTAATTACCTCGATCTGTCTCGGAATACATTTTCTGGTAGTATCCCACGTTCACTACAAAATTTGAAGCTCAATATGCTGAATTTGTCAAATAATCAACTCTCTGGTGAAGTACCGCCTCTATTTGCTAAGGAAGTTTATCGGGACAGCTTTCTGGGAAATCCAGGTTTGTGTGGTAATATTGCTGGTTTATGTAATCCCACAGGTGAAAACCGAAGTCGAGCCTTTTTGTGGGTATTAAGGTCTATCTTTGTGATTGCCGGAATTGTGTTTCTTGTTGGAGTTGTTTGTTTTGTATGGAAGTACAAGAATGCCAAGAAAATGAACAAAGGAGTTATAATGACTAAGTGGACTTCCTTTCATAAGCTGGGGTTTAGCGAATTCGAAATAAGTGAATGCCTTAAAGAAGCTAATGTGATAGGACGAGGGGCATCGGGAAAAGTGTATAAAGTTGTTCTTAGCAATGGTGAGATAGTTGCAGTAAAAAAGCTGTGGGAAAGATCGGACAAGATTGAAGATGAGTTTGAGATTGAAGTCGAGACTCTGGGAAAAGTTCGGCACAAGAATATTGTGAAATTATGGTGCTCTTGCAATACAGGAAGTTGCAAGCTACTGGTGTATGAGTACATGCCTAATGGGAGCTTAGGAGATTTACTGCATATTAACAAGAGTAAATTGCTGAATTGGCGGACGAGGTTCAAGATTGTGTTGGATGCCGCTGAAGGGCTCTCGTATTTGCATCATGATTGTGTTCCTTCAATTGTACACCGGGATGTTAAATCCAACAACATACTGTTGGATGAAAATTTTGGAGCAAAAATTTCTGATTTTGGTGTTGCAAAGATTTTGAAGACAGTGAACCGGGGTGTCGAATCAATGTCTGTAATTGTTGGTTCTCGTGGTTACATTGCACCAGGTACTCCTTCCAATCATACGAAATTTCAAATGTCATTGTAAATTAGGTGTAATGTTTGATGCTAACATTTTTCGAATTTATCGTATTTCAGAATATGCATATACGCTTCGAGTGAATGAAAAAAGTGACATATATAGCTTCGGCATAGTCATTCTAGAACTTGTGACCGGCCGAACTCCAACAGATCCTGATTTCGGCGGAAAAGATTTGGCTACATGGGTGTGCATGACTTTAGATAAGGAAGGTATTGATCACGTAATGGATCCAAGTCTTGATTCAGAATTCAAAGAACAAATTTGCAGGTTACTTGATATTGGCCTACTATGTACTAGTTCCTTGCCAATCAACCGCCCTTCAATGCGCACAGTCGTCAAGATGCTGCAGGCATTGGCCAATAACATGCCTAACGTTGTAGATATGGACGGTAAGACGTTCCCGTCTTGTGATCAAGAAAGTATGGTTTAAGGGCTATCTATGTTTTTGAACCCGGGCTGTACTAGTAGCGAAACTTAGAATTCGGGTAGTTTACCGACTAAGAGTTGTTAGAAGTGTAATAGCTATAGTAAATTTGGATTGAGAATGTAAAAATTGTCACTCTCTTCTCCGATATCAATTGTCATTTTCAAGGGCACCTTTAGCTAACTACTTTTGAAAATGCTGCAAGTTTGCATTTAGTGTCTGTCTTTCAATGCCGGCCATTATTAGTGAGATGGGCCTAAATTTTGTCATTTGAAAAATTAAGTGCATAAAGTCAAGAAATTTGGCAATTCACGTCTGACTAGGCGAAGAAGAGTATTATGGTCCAGATGCATCTCTAGAATCTTGATCGCAAAAACCATGTCCAGAGAAATTGGGTTGCTATTATATCGATATAATGAAAGTGAAGAATTCGAGAAAAACCCGGGAAAGAATGATTTTTCATTTTCTATTGTAACCTAACCTTATAACCAGAGAACACACAGCTACAAGACATCCACAGGTTACCTTATAACCAGAGAACACACAACAACAAGACACCCACATTTGAATTGTTGATGAGTAAATGGGATCATGCGTAGCCTCTGAAAAAGTTAAAGGGTCGAGTGTTGAACCAACGATGAAACAAGTTATAAATATGAATAACATAATTTGACGCGAATGGGCAGGTTCGATTTTTTAAGTACTTGAAAACAGTTGCTTAGCATCAAATACAAGGCTAGCATCAAATACAAGGCCAATAACTCATAGTTTTCTAATCATGCACTCGTTTGTTCAAGAATTTGAAATTTATTTAAAAGACCAATCCAATAGGCTGCAGAAGACAAGAAAGTCGGTCGCTCCGTGTGGAAATAGTTGAATGTGATGCATTGGCAGTATCCATAGAGCGAAGAATGGTCGGAACTTTTCTTATAATGTTTTAGTCTTCCTTCTCTAAGTGGGATGTGGAACTAGTTATGTTTCTTGCAATGGTCCCAGTAATAGAAATAGTGCATCCCATAATCTTGCCTCATTTGCTATTCATTCCTTCAACATCTTCTGTTGGTATGCCTACTTCCATTGAGTCAATTTTGTGATGATATCTAATTGAACAATAATTCCGCTCAACTGAGAATAAAATCCCGGGTTTGGAGCCAGGGGCCAAAGTGGCATGACCTATTTGAAATCTACGGGCCCCGTGTGCTACAAGGTCGAGGGCCAAGGTCATGCCACCTCGGCCCTGGATTGGAAAATCCCGGGTTCTGCAGCACGGTTCCTAATTGAATGAGTTCCATTTGCTGTCAAAATAAAAATAAAACTCCTTTTTTTTGTTTTTTTCTTGGGTTCAAATGTCCAAGTAGATGTGTCAAAGGGTTGGGTTAAGACCTTAACCAGTAGGATGTGCAACGATGCCTAGGATGAGAAGCATAGATAGGGAGCCTCATGGCTATGACAGAGTAGATCCAAATACTTGCCTTGGATCAACTTCCAAATCCTAATTGCTCTAGTGAATACCTAAAGAAAATAGAAAAATGGGAGAGCTTGTACATCTAAAAATTTTTAATTGGGTAGTTGAAAATAGCTCTAAGGCTATGGAACAAAGGATTATACCGAGCCTATACCGATGTATTAACAGTTATTTTCAAATCTCGCAAAATAGAATGTAATACGATGAGACACAAATGCAGGGAACACCCATTAAAGGAGTTATTCCCCACCCGGGAGCTACTTTACTGTATTCCGAATTCAAATGGTAAAAACTCCTTATAGTTCTTGTTGGACCAAATTTAGAATTGTTCTCAATAGTGTGTGAAGCCATAAATCCTATTGTATTCATTGAGATCTGTTGACTTCGTATATCATTCCATTGTAAATAAATGAACTGATTTTATTGAAGCTGAGACTGATAATGGCGTGTACAACTTGACAATGCCTAGAATGAGAACGTATAATGTGGAGGAATCGCATGATTACTGGAGGAATGGCGAACATTCGTGGAAGGCATAGCATGAAATCTTGAAGATAATGAGACGGATAATCCATCGTTCATGCCAGGATGAGGAAACGTGATTATTGTGCGAGCAGATATTTTGAGCTGAAGATGATAGTGGACTCAAGAATTATAGAACTGGTCTTCTCTACGATGAAACTGAACGAGGCACAGGATGAAAGTGGCCGCCTTCTCGCAGTAGAAATCGACTCGAAACTCCTCTAGGCAAGGAGGGTAATCAATGACTCATTCTAAACTTTCTTGGTTGTTTGGACCATCGGAGAAAGACTTATTTGTTTGCACATAGAAGAATCTATCTGGGCAGATCAATACAATTTATTTACCCACCAACAATCATAGATTCTCTAAGAAACGATTTGCTACAAAATGTATTGTCACCTTACTCCTCACATGCACTAGTACTAGTCTTTGAACTCTACACAACATTTTTTCGTACCTAACTTTGGCTATTGATGTAGACCAAGTGCCATAACAAAAATGATATGAGATGGAATGTCGCACAAAACCGCATTCAAAAGCATGATCGACCAACTGTGATAGCGTGTGATAGCAATAATGATATGAAGAATCAAGCACGGAGTGAAAGAATGTTCGAACGGAAAACAATTTTTGTGAGACAAATGGAACCTCAAGTTCACATCCTACACAAAAGTACAATGTTGTTTCAGTACAAATTAGAAGACTAATACCCACCACATCACCATCCTCTAGGATAGTTTCACGCGATAAATAGTAGTACAAGAAACCATACAAGCAAATTCTACATTCCATAGTCACCGTCTTTCTATATAATGCAGATTTACAAATTGAAAAAGGAAATAAGATAAAGACACCAGATGTTAATCAGGCCTTGAAACTCTATCTTGTAATACTAAAACGTTAACAGGTTATAATCCATCTTCCACGGATAGGTCCACGAAGCATTCTATAACAAATGATAACCCCAGTGCTAACTATCATGGCTGTTCATGGTGAGAATCAAACTGCTTAATAATTCTTTTTCAGCATCTAGCAGAAGGAGCGCGGCTTAGTGAAATGCTGGACGGAAAAATGTTTCTAGAGTTAGAATTTCAGATAAGATTAGTTCTATAAAAGGAAAAACAATTGAGGTAAATGATGTTATCCATCAGCCACTAACTAAATAAGATATTTCTCACCATTTATTGTACCTCTACATTCCTAACTAAAAATTCTAGAGTACGCAGGAAACAAATTTAGGACGTGGGCCAAAAGCTCTCTTGGATAAAGGAAATATAAGTTGGTATAAGAATTGAGGAGAAGAGAAGGGGGAATTGAACTGCGTTTTTACAAGGAAAGAAAAACGGATGCAATTGTTGGACTTTTGCAGTAGCTTTTTACCTCAAGCTGGAAAGCAATTGGTCTTTGGGTCTCTGGGGTGACGAGAAAACTTATTTATTTATTTTTTTGAAAAAAAAAAACAAACTGAGGAAAGAAAAAGTGTCACTAGCCAAAACATTTCAGGCATCAGTTAACTAAATGGTCTAATGTCAAAAGGATATGATAAAAATTGAAGAGCAAATCACAAAGAACAGCGAGAGACTTCTCACAACGTGAAACGCGATGTCACAATAGACAAGAAAATATCATTCATGTGCTCTATAGGTCATAATTTTTTTTGAACTTTTTCCCTCAAAATCCCTGACATCGATTCAAAACCCAAGAATTGCACATTCGTGTATTGGTCCAAACGCTATATTACAATGAAAAGCATCCACATAACGAATCTTACAATAACTTCAAGAATTGCACATTCGTGTATTGGTCCAAACGCTATATTACAATGAAAAGCATCTACATAATGAATCTTACAATAACTTCATTAGACTGGTCTATAGTCAAGTGATTTGAGAAATCTTAAGAAGGTAGCAGAAGTTCCACTGGAAGCCTATGAGCGTTGGGGGTAAAATTATTAGTAACTTTTTAGGAGGAATAGTATTGGATCCCACGAAATGTGCGGTTAATAAATGGGTAGTAATTGTGAATGTTGTGGTTGAAATTAATGTTTGACTTTAACTTGATTGAAAGGATAGTTTTTTTAGTAACTTTTAATTTCACACGAACAATGCTAAAGTTGTCATAAGCGACCAATTTAATCAATCTTAACTTATAATACCTTTATTTGCAAATTAAATGTCAACTTGTCATATTAAACATTATTTAAGTTTTTTGCCAGATGACAATCACAACAATATCTAGCTTGTTTCAATAGGCTTTCCTGATAATGATCTGATGCCTTTCTTCAAAGGTTGCATTAATCTGTATATTTAATCCAAGAAATCCCATCAACCTTAAAACTATATAGGAATTTTCCTCCTAATGGGAAATGTTGGATGGGAATGAAAAGGAGAACTCAGCAGTTTAAATCCATAAACCATCAAACCCCGTAACCCCCCTCTGGAGCATGCCACATTCTCAACCCACTTCTGTGTCGGGCAACCTCATATTATTAGATAGAACCATTTTATGCTGGTTTACTAATTTTTTAAACTATATGTAATTTCACTATTTCAGTACGCACCATTTTATCACCTAAACTAGAAGATATTCACACACTGTTTCAATTACAATGCCTGAATATTTCATGGTTAAAACAATATGACAAAATTTAACAAAGAAAAGATAAGCTCAAATGCTCCAAATTGTGCACAGAGAATCTATTGGTTGGGTTATGGATTCCAGCTGGGGAAGTTGGAATGTCACGGGTATAGGTGGGCTGGGTTATATCTGGACTGTGGTTGGATTGGAATAACAAAAGCAAGATAAAGGCACTCTTTTTCTTTTTCATTTTTCCCCCAGAAACAAGGATTGAGATCAAAAGCAAGAAAGTTTCTAGCTTAGTCAACGATTGCAGATTTTATTTATTTATTTATTTTTATTTTTTTGTCAACTATGAACAATAAGCAATATGAAACCAAAATAGGAAAACAATTTTCTCTTGCCGATTGAGTTCTTTTTCTATCGCTGCAGTGCCCTTTAGTTTTGTGTAAGCTTTTTGTATTGATTTTTGTTATGCGATGATTGGCTTTAAGGTGGGCACGAATGGTTGAGGGTGGCAGTATTGGTTGGGTTTGGGTATGAATGTTGATGGCTGCTAAAAATAAATTCTTCAATTTGAACACTGCGCAAAATTTGTTTGTCCAGTGAAAAACAATTTGCTTTGATACAAAATAGATGTAGAACACAATTGAACATGAAAAAGAAAGAAAAAATGAAGAGGGAGAGTATAAAGAATCTATACGGAGAAAATATCAATTTATTCCCTATCAAAGACTAACTATTACAATGCATAAGCCCATTTATATAGGTTTTGAACTAGTCTACTTTATTATTAAGTAGGAAAATGCTGGAAAATCGATTAAATCAAACCCTAATTATGTTACCTAAAGTAAGTATCCAGTTTGAAAAGTAAACAACTAATAATATACTAAAAAATCTACTAATTAAACCTTAATTACATTTCCTAAAATAAATATCTAATTTGGAAAGTAAATTAAGCCTTTGTTTGGCCTCCATTTTTTAAAATTCATTTTCACTCACACATTTCATGGGACCCACAACTTTTATCACTTTTCTATCACACATTTCACCAACTTTTACCAAAATCTACTACAAATCTAATTTTTATTCATATCAAACAAGGGATAAATAATATCCCTAGTAGGATCCATCAGAATGACATCCAAGAGGCTCAAATTCATATCAACCAGAATTTGTACTTGTGCTCAAGAACATCTGTAATTACAGACAAATATATACATTAGTATCACTCCAGTCATTCACAAAGTTCTCTCTTATCATACTATTCCTTGTAGCAAAGACACAAATAGTGCCTCTATATACCATGATGAAGAAAGGAGTGTCATTCTCGCCCAAAATCTATGTGCCCCCTTCCGTGCCCCTTCAGCATCAAAACATCCTTTTTTATTGCAATTCTCTTGATCCCTTTCATTTTAGTAAATTTGTCAACTTTCAAGCCTTTGCAACAGTATTTTGTCTAACGGTTATTATTTCAACTTTCTAAACATAAAATTAAAGTTCTACATAAACTTTGTAGGCTCTTATATGTTTGTTTCCAATCTCTTTTAGCACAAGTGACCGGGATATAAGGATGGGTACTGTTATATAACACCACCAATGCATCAAGTCCTATTCCCAATAAACTTGTGGTTGGTTGCATGGATCCTTTTCACCACCCTATTCGATCTAGCACCCACATCTACTAAAAGCTCAACTAAAATCGAATATTTTTGCAGCCCCACAAAGTCATTTTAATTTTGGTTAACCTTGATCTTCTAAGATATTCCACTGGAAACATATTGCTCTTGCAAATGGGAGTTTATTTACAGCTAGGTAAGGCATGTCTCAACCTTCTAAATCACGATTCCTTAAATTCTTCTGGATCAGTGTCACCTCTTATGGGAATACATATTAATTTTTAATTTTATTCATTCTAGTATGAGTACACGTCCATCCAATAATCTATAGCAATATCAACCAAGTTGCCAACAGGTAGGCGATCTTCAACCAAATGCATGATATCAAGGTTCCTTTTGGCCAACAGGGTTAATCCCCCTCATCTTATCCCGTCAAGCAAAGTCGACCAATTAGAGAACTCTAATACCAATTTTAAGCACAATCTACTGTAACTTTATGAATAATGATCAAATTAATCATTGTTCTTCTCTAAAAGAAATATCTCAACCATCACAAGATAAGCAGAAATCAACAGTTCTAAATTTTTCATGACAAAATATGTCTGGCTAAGGCTAAAATAAGTAAGTTCACTTATGAGTAACTTATAAGCCTAGCCAAACAAGTTTGGAGTTCTAAAAGTTTTTCTTTTTTCTCCCAAACATGTTAGGCTTCTTCCTTAGAAGTTGCACTTTTGTTTTGAACTTTATTACAAAAATTAGCTCAAATATAAGCATTAGACCAACTACAACAGACTTTTTAAATATGAAATGCTCTCTATTTTAAAGAGTCAACCCTTAAAATTATAATCTAAGAGACTCTTTAAATTAATATTTTAATTTAGAGAGTAGGTTTGACTCTCCAACACTCTCTATAATTTAATGCATCCAATGTATTTCAATTTTCAATGTAGAAAGATAATATACTAATCTAGAGAAAAGCTAGTTAAAATAAAAGATAGAAAAAATAATAAATGTTTTTTCGAAATAGTAAAATTAAGCATTAAATATAAAGAGTCCGTTGCAATACTTCAAAAGTTTTACTATCTAAATTTATAGATGCTTTTTAAACTATAGAATACACTCTTTAAAAATAGAGTCTCTTGAAGATGCTCTTCATTTCCTTACTTTTCAAAAAAGCTAAAGTTAATCTTGGCTGAACATGCTTCTTAGATTAGATAATAGTTGGAATAATTCCAAAACTGCCCTAAATCTCATGGCAAAAAACACGTGAAGAATATTAAAATGACCCAATATTACTGCCTTCTATCAAATTGCAGATGATGAATAGCATATATAATGGTGAATTTGAAGAACGTTACGGATTTATATCCTTGAGTAATTTTAAATTTACTATATTTCCTTCAATAAACAATTATCATATAAAAACATTATGATCCCAAAGACTAAAGAATTGGGTAATTATATTACCACTACAAAATTTACTTGTTACACCACAATTTTAATTATCCCTAATTCTAAATGACCATAAGTAGGATTACTTAATTACCCATAATTTTATATAAATTATTACCAAAAACATTTTTATGACGACACCACAATCACCATTTTTTATCCATGAATCGCCTCCCAAAATCAAGTAATTAGAACAATGAATCCATATAGGTCGGCACCGTGGCATTCAAGCTCTGGAGCAATGCTGCCGTTGATCACCACCACCACGCTGGATTAACGTAGGAGATCCGGAAACAAAGAAAGCGGCCCCCTTTTACCCAAGGAAATGAATTGCAGAAAATCTTCGAAGGGGGTAGCCAAAAAAATCCAAGCCTCAATTTTCCTTGATTTTTTATCTTCCGACGTTAAACCTTGAACTCTCAGAAAAAAAATTGGTTAAATATTTGGAGTCAAATGTATAGCCTTAAATAGATTCGGTTTGTTGAGATCTCATTGAAGTTCTGGCACAATAGACTGAAAATTAGAGAATCCGAAACAAAAATAATGACCATAGACGTGTTTATAGGATGATGCGTGATGTTCCCTGGAGTCCACATACTCTGCACCAAATTTATCAGGCCATTGTTTTCAAGAATTCAGTAAGAAATTCTCTGGGAAGAAGATGACACCACACTATGAGCTTGTTTGGGAGTGATTTTGAAAATTGATTTTTTGACCGTTAGAAGAAAAGTGGGGTCCACCTATGAGAGAAGAAATCAAATATGACGGCTGGAATAGTAAAATAACGGTCAAAAAATCAATTTTTTGCGGAAAAAAATCACTCCCAAAAGGCTCTATTTTTTTTTTTATTTTAATTTTAAGTTTTTATTGGATTAAGGTTATAAATGTAAATTGTGGTGGTGTATTTATTAAAAATTTATTTTAATTGTGGTGTGATTATAATGTGGTCTAACAAGTACGTTTTGTAGTGGTAATATAATTACCCTTACCCTTGATAGGTGCAACCACCGGCCATAAAAAACAAAAATATCATGCACCAAATGTACAATATCTCTTGTTGTAAGTCATAACAACGTCATACTCTTAACAGTGTAGCCAGAGAGCAAATAAGTTCACCTAGGTCCTAGCTGAAACACACTTCGTAAAATAGGTCCCTAACTATATACTTGTCTCATCACACTTTCAGCCATTGATCCAAATTATACTTAAACTACACAATTCCAGTATTGAAAAATTGCTTGCAAGTGACATCTCAATTAGAAGACAAACCCAGGGATCTAATCTAGTAATGTGTCCAGACAATTGAGAATTTAAATTGTTCATGATCAAACAATAATTATAAATTGTTACTATAAGCACCTACAGCTTTGTGCATAATCATGACCAAAAACTATCAAAAACAGAACTAGTTTCCATTTCAATGGATTCGGTTTGTCAAATGAGGAACCAAACACCACTAAGCTAATTATTGACCATTTAGTTTCTTCTATAAACAATACCCAGAACCGACAAAAAATCCAATGAATACATATTGAGAAGTAGATTAAATATCTTATCTATGAACTAATGACTGTGGGAACTCAGTGAGAAACCAAATGCAAGTAAGTTGAGAACAAATCTGCATTGCTTTTATACACACATACCGTGTCCATGTCCATAGGAAACAAGACATCCTATCCTTTACCAGCAAATTGTTTGCTGGTCTACAGTCGACTGCTCAACCCTTTCCTTAACATGAAAGGAGACAAATAAAGAAACAGGCACTTAGATGCATGATTTTTTGCATATTCAAGCTTGGAACATCCTTGAAGAAGATATAAACTATTCAGGAAAGGCCAACAATCATTATATATCAAATTTCTACAGTCCAATCTGAGATTCACGTGATAAAAGCAAAAAAAGCTCTATCAAAATAAAACAATATTTCTGATAAAATGAGCAAAGGAATTATACCATCATCCACTGGAACTGGGCCGGTTCCCACTTGAACCGGGAATGTTCAGATCTGCTGGCTCACCACCTTTCCTCATCCGCTCATACCCACCTCCAGATTTCGGCCTCCCGTCTTCACCGAAACGGTTAGGAGATGATCTATAGTGCCCCGGATCCTGAACCGGAGCCGGACGATGTCCGACAAAATCCTGTCTGCCCTTAAAAACCCCAGGCGGTCCACTCTTCATAATCTCAGGCCAAGGCTTCTCCTGCTTGCCCACAAAACCCGGCCTGAGATGCGGCGGCACGAAACGGTTAGTCTTAACCGGAGAAATCAACGGAGACACCGGAGACGGCAAAGGAGAAGAAGAAATTGCCGGAGTTGACCCAGTTCGTCCCTGTGGACGAAGCGATATTAAATCCGGGTCAAGATCCAACCTTGCTTGATCCGGTGGCGTCAAAGAACAAACAACAGAACCCTTTTCCTTGTTTTCTTTCTGCTCGATCGATTGCTTCACAGGAATCGAAATGGGCTTGGGAGTCGGCCGGCTCAAAACAAGCATGTGGCCATGAATTCGCGAGTTTTTGCTTGGATTCGCAAACGAAGTACCCGAAGAAGAGAACGATTTAGCTGAAGAATTGTTGTTACTTGTTTGATTATTGTTATTATTCAGCTTTTTATCGTATATATCATTGAAGTTGAGGGAGGTGTATTTATTGCTTCTTGCCATTCACCTGTTTCACCGCCGTTACAGCTACCAATAACACCGCCGACAGCCACCGTTACGAGGAGAGTTTTTTCTTTTTTCTGGGTTGGTTTAAAGTTTTGACTTTTTTGAGATGTTTGAAACATTTCCTTCACACCATTATTGGGTTGAGGAGGGGGAACGTTGCTTGTTGGAGTCCGATAATGACGTAATTTTACGTTAAATTTAATATTATATATTAATATTAATACCTTAATTTATCATAAAAATACATATCTGATACGTTTGTGCCACCATCACGCTTATTTAGAGATGACAATTTGAACCGTTAAAATTGAAAATCACGATTAATCGAATCGAATGGGGCGAAAAAATCGAATCGATGATGCAATGAGGCGGATATGGTATTTGATTTTAATGAACCGGTTCGTGTCGGTGCGGGTATGGTATTTATGCTGTCGAATTGAAATCAAACCGATTATCTGCTTGGAAAAAAATATTCTTTTATTAGGGATGACAAGGTTTAATGAGAAGGAAGTTGACGAAAATGTACATTTTTTATATAAATCTTAGTTAAAACTATTCTGGATTAGATAGTATCGTTGTATTCTCTATTTATATTTCTTATTTACTATATAGGAATCAATTTTGATTGCTGACCTATACTAGTAAGAGTTGTAGGGAAGAATGAAGATTGAATATGAATTAAAGTTGAAGCTCTTGAATTATTGAGCATAAATCAAGTAACTATAATGCACAAAATCAAGAATGAAAGAAAAGTTTAGAGCTAATTTGGGAGTGATTTTGAGAATTGATTTTTTGATCGTTAGGAGAAAAGTGTGGTCCACCTGTGAGAAAAGAAGTCAAATATAACAGTTGGAATAGTAAAATAATGGTCAAAAAATTAATTTTTTGGGTGAAAAAATCTTGCCCAAACAAGCCCTTAATATCGTTATATTCATGATATTGTTTGTTAAATTTTTATTTTGCAATTAGAATTTGGGATAATGTTTGCATTTTCGTTTGGAATATTGTGTTTTTGTTTTTATTGATTCTCTTTTCATAAATTATTTTATATCAATTTGACGAATGGACCTATAAAAAATAATTTATTTTCGTGGCTATTAACTGAATCGAACCGAGTTAAACCGAGATACAAACCGAACCGAACCGATTTACGTGATTATGGTGCGGTTAAAGTATGGCAAAAAATTTGATAGTTCGGTGATGGTTTTGGCCGAACTGAACCGAAACTAAACCATTGTCATCCCTACCCTTATTTCCACACTTTCATTCCATTGCCATTGAAGAAGAATATCGACCAACTTCAAAAGTGGAATACGTGTGAATAAGAAAATTATTTATTTTTAATTTTTTATTTAGAAAGAAATCAGGAAATATATCATTTAATTATCTCTCCACTTAATCACTTTCCAAATTGTTTAAAATTGAAATACGAGTAGAAGAAGATTTTTCTCGATTTAACTTCGCCGAATCCATGTGTTAAGGGCCCATTAAGACTTCATTGCTTTAACTCTATTAAGAAGAGCTCCTAGTATGAGTCCGAGCTTCACATTGGTAGCTTGTACTTGACTTGGCTCAAGTTCACTTCTATGACATGTCAAATTGAGCCCCACATTGATCTAGGGAGCCTCGAGCTCTTTTATAACCCTTCCCATTCGTCAATTTGAGGATAAAGTAATCGTGGCCTAGGTCAATGAAAGTCCATTGGACTCACTTAACGTTGACTAACTATAGATAAACCTCTAACCACTTCCCCAATGAGTTTTGCTATAGCAGCAATAGGGACGGGGACAGGGGTATAATGCATTTTTAGGTCTTTCTCTACATTATTAACCTTATATCAATTGTATGTTACAGATTGTAGTTTCTCCTTTGCAAATTATTCCTCAATCTTTGTATCTAATTTGTTATATTCACATTGTCATCCCTAAGTTACTATGTTTAGGAAATTGGAGGGACAATGTTTCCTCTGTGTTCAATAGAGGATTTGTAAAATTTCTTCCACCCATTTTTTTCTTTCTAGATTTGAGAATTTTTCTCTCGATGTATCCTCTCTAAGATGGCGACTTCTCCCCTAACATCCAAAACCAAACCACCAGCCACTTTCACTGGTATGGGCATCTTCAAAGTCATGATCGGACCTACCAAATCCATCGGTCTCACGTCACAAAGACACAACCGTTCCTACTTGCAAGCAACCGTTAATCCTAGTACGATGCTCGCAGATCCGACAATGAAGCCATCTGTGAAGGGGATACAAAGGCTCTAGGCAACCCCCATCTACGGAGTTAAAAGAAAATTCATAGATCCGATGAAAGGGAAATCGAAAGGTCACTATCCATTCACTCCTGATGCAATCAATATCAGGGCCCAACCGATCAACTGTGCAAGTCATTCCGACCACGACCAGGCTGTCACCAAGTGGACGTGTCGATCTGACAACGAGTTCGTCAGCACATGATGCACACGCGTTGAAAAATGTGCAGAACCACCATGAAGCATCTTAACCAACCAGCATGCCTACTTTTTCATTAGCCACATCAATTTCATAATATCATATGAAACAGTCCTATACCACAAGTTTGAGGGTTTTTAGTTCTTGGTTTAGAATGGATGCGAAGGAGTTCGTAATGTTTGTTAATGATTTAGGCATTGTTAAGTTGGCGGAATGGGGATCGAGGATATCGAACGCAATTTGCATGAGGAGAATTGGAGCTGTTTGGATAGTGAATATGGTGAAAAAGCTAAGGGTGACTAGCAAGTTAGAGTAGTTTGTCGATAAGTTTAATGAGTCTCCTCGAGCTTTTTTGGCACAACGATGTGCCAACACTTGCGGTAGGTATCTGATGATAACACAGTATGGGAAGAGGCGTCGAAAGGGAGTTGTCATGGTGTCGAAAGATGCAAATGGAAAGGGATGGACATTGGTTTCGCGGGGGTTCCAAGCAGTTATCGACTCCTTTGTTGCCAATGATAAGGGAAAAAGTCGAACATATGATGAAAAGAGACGAGAAGGGATATATTTTGTCAAAGTTATGACGAACTTATAGGCATAGTTATAAAATCCGGCCCGGACCAACCAAAAAACTGGTGACCCAGGCCCCCGACTGGGCCGGGTAGAACATTTTCATAGAGATGCAACTGACTTGATCAAAAACTGAGTTGACTGAGTTAACCAGCAATTTTAATATTAACTCGCTCGGTTGGTTGGTTTGACCAAGATTTAAAAGTTTGTCCATAAATTTTTTGTTCTCAAAAGACTTGAACCTTAAACTTCTAGGTAAAATGAGTACCATCTAACCACTAGAGATCAATTGTTTATTGTTATGTGCTTGTAATAATTATGTATATGTAAATCATTTATAGTTTGTTAAAAGTATTTTTAAAAATTTATAGTAACTATTTTGATTAAAATGAATTGAATATTTAACAAAATAATATGTAAAATGTATAAATAATTAATGATAGATAATTTTTTTTTTTTTTGGTTTTATCTAAAAGAAAAATTTTATACTTTAAAAAAGATTTTATAATTATTAAGCATTGACCCACTGATTTGCCACTAACCTACCAGTTCGACTCGTAACTCGAGACCCGGTGCCTTGGTTCGGTCGATGGTCAGGTCGGGTTTAATAACTATGCTTACAGGCATCGCAATACACTGATCAAGGAGTAATGATGCGTGAGAAATGGGTGATTAATAAGGAGAGTGATTCTCGCGAGCAGGTCTCAAGATCTTATAAGGAAGGTCATCTAATGGTGCACAAGTAAAAGAAAACAAATATAGAAAATATATGTGATAGTATTTTCAATAATGATGGAATAAAGAATCACATCAAGGCATTGCAAGGGAAATTAGATGAATAAACAAGGTTACTGGATAGTGGGTATGTAGTCGGCCCCAGGAAGAGTTATTGTCATACATGTAGGTTAGGCTTGGATGAGTATATAGCCAATGAAAAAATGTAGCAAACTTGGATTCTAAGGCAGTGGTGGTTAAGCTAAGTGGTGAGTCTCAGGCGCAGATTAAAGTAGTGGAGATGGCACCTTTGGCCAAAGAAAGGGAGCCAAGTATGTTGAATTTGGAGTCAGGGATATTGGATGTAACTAAAGATAATTAGTTAACGATAGTGGGTGCATTGAATAAGAATTCAGCAGAAGGATTAGTGTCAGCAAGGGAGCAAGAGATCGAAACTATATTGGTAGACAAATCAGCGTTGGCAATTGAGAAAGAGGATGGAGCGATAGGTTCAGCAACTATGGTAGGGAACACCTAGTGCAGAAGATATTTGAAGTCTCTAAAAGATGGTGACTCAGGAAATGATAAAGCTTTAGTGGTGTAGGTTGATGGCACCAAGAAAGAGGATATACATAGCAGTGTAGTGCAGATGGAGGTAGATAAGGGACACCACTATGACCCATTCTACTCTGAGGACATAGTAAAAGTTACGGTGCTTGAAGCTAGATCGCCATCGTCAACTTGGGTTGTTCAAAAAAATTTGGATTTCAGTAAGACGGTAGGTGTGTCTTGCAATGGGTATGAAAATAGGCTCTTGCAATTATTTGGGAGAATTGGAGGCTAGTAGGGGGCAGGGGATGGGTACACCAAGAGGTAAGACTAGAAGAAAGGGAGAACGTGAGCTTAAGTAACTCGAATCCCTGGTTAATTATGACATCAAGGGTAGAGAACCAAGGAGACGATCAATGGAGAGGGATGTTAAAGAGTAAAGATGATTCCAAAAATAATTAGTTGAAATGTGAGGGGGCTAAATGAAGCTGGGAAAAGATTAGGTGTTCGAAATTTGTCAAAGAAATGAAGGGCTACCTTATATGCTTACAGGAAACAAAGTTGGAGTTCATTTTGAGGGAGATCGTGAGCAGCTTATGGGGGGACAACATGTTGGGTATAGTTTGTGGGGTCCTTGGGGGCTTCAGCAGGTGTGCTAGTCATGTGGGTAATAGATTCTTTGACATTGAGGAGGTTAGTAAAGGGCTATTTTCTCCATCGTTGTTGTTTAGAAATATTAGGGACAGTTTCCATTGGATGTTTATAGGAGTTTATGGGCCGAATGATGATGAAAGTAAAGGTGGATTGTAGGATGAGTTGGCTGGCATGATGGTTTGGTAGAACCTCCCAATGTGTATTGGGGGCG